GTGCATATATTCGAATATTCAACTATTAGAATAGCATATTACTATTCGAAAGTTTTGGTAGCAGGTGACGACAGGTCACTTGCGCGTCGCCTAATTAAACGATGGAATTTCACACCTGTGGATTGCCGACGAGAACACGATTCGGCACACGCGTCGATAGATACCTGGGTGGTGTTCCTCGCGAGTTAGAACAACGGGGAATATTTTTTTTTTTCTGGTGGGTGTCAATGATGGCAACCTATATTTTCTAAATTGAAAGGCGGCAATACAAAATACTAAAAATAAAACGGAAAACACCATGAGTTTTGTTTAATGATGTTCCGCGACCGATTTTTAAGACATTGCAAATCGCAAAATTCCGGGCGCTACCGTAGTATACGTACCAGGGCATTTCCCTTCTCTTTCCTTAGGATTCTTTGCTTTACTGCCTCCATATTGATACCCACAGTACTGCCGTAGGTGTTGTACGAACAGCTCAGATTTGTCAAATGCACAAAATTACAAATCAAAACAAAATATATTCGGCCACTTTACCACGTATTTCTGTGTCCACGGATTGTCATGATATTTTCTGAGTAGTATTTCTTTTATTTCGTCAACACAACCGCAGATTAAAACGATCACAATAATATTATTAATAAAGCAGGGCGATGAATATATATGTATTTTTGATTTACTAATATGCTTTAAAGATATTATTAATAAGTACTAAATCAAGTTGTACTTTCTGGAAATTTATAGCAGATAGTAGAATTTTTTTAAAGGCGATAACAAATTCGCAAGATCGCAAAAAAATAGGTATTCTACATTCTACGTTCAACAACTGACGCCTTTTGATATTATTAAAAAATTACGGTGAAATGCTATTTGAGCGTTCAACTACTGTCACCTTTCAACAGTATTGAAGTTACTGTAGAATGATATTCAAACGTACTTCAACTGACTTTTTTAACAGTGCCCTATTTAAGGCAGCTATACCCCACTCAGTCACTGCAGCAGCAAAACAGTTTTAAGCTTCATATTAACTTACTACTGCACTTAGCTCTCTTCTATGTGATTTTGCCTTTTTATGTCACCAGTATTCATACTTGTATAGCGGACTCTACGGTGATTTTCTACGGAGGTTTCTGATATTTGAAAATTTTATTAAAATAATTTTGGTACTAGGCTATACTCACGAACTGGACGCAATATAATAGACTTTTTATAGGTGTGATACTATTCTTTAATTATCGTGAGACGTAGGCTATACAATAAGTCCGACACCTGTGCCCGTCTCTATATTCAAACTAACAGGCATAAGTACCGCTACAATGCGTGGCCTAACGATTTTTTGGTTTGTCATTCCTGCTCAACATCTTACAAAGTCATTATGTCTATCCGCCGTCACATTCAGATAATAGAACTTGACAAAACTAATTCGTATGTGTTCTTCGCCGGGTGACTAATACGCATAGCTCAAATAAATGTAAAAATCAAGTGCGCGGGGCCTTGATCCTTGAAGGAACAATTTTGGGCGTTCCAGAAAAAAGTGTATCAATATGGCGGTTACTAATTTTGTTTGTCTATTTTGCATCAAGTTGTGTAAAGGGACTGAAACCTATGAGCATGGAGTATATTCACTTGGCTAACACAGACAGTCCCCGAACTCTTAGAAGAACTAAAATAAGGAAGATTGGAATAAAGTTATGGCTTTACCATAACCTGGTACACATACTACTTGAGTACTCAATTTTTTGGTAACCATATTGATTTCGAAATTTACAAAAAAATTTAATACATAATAAAAATGTTAAGTTCGCCCAGTACAAGATGTGTAGAAAATGGTGGATCAATCTAGCATATTTATCAGGCTCAATCCATCTTGAACCCCAGCTGTCCTATTCGAAGGTTTTAAATGAATTATTTTTGCATTGCTCAATAGCGAAGTAAACGATTGAAATTTTACGTGTCGTAAACGTATATGCAAGAAAATACCTTAAAGCGCAAAGGGCATATGTTTATTGCGTGTTTAATTTTACGTAAAATTTAAGTTGACTTCACTAGGTATTGCAAACTGAGCGGAAAAACGAGAATGTATGATGACCAGTATGATGATTTGTGTATGGCTTCATACATACGACAGTGAAAGGCAAAATTGTACCCCGATACGTTCTATGCCTGCGCAATCTTAGACAAACACTCTTACAGCGCCATCTTACTATAAAGCAACCTGCCCATTTTTCCAAAGCAAAAAGGGGGGCGCGAAGTTCATAAAATTTTTCAAAGGGGGGCGCGGCTCAAAAAGTTTAAGAACCACTGGTCTACGACCTCGCCGATACATTAATTACAAGGAAAGAGTTATTAACTTTCGATTCTACCTTGCCAGATTTATACTGACCAGAAAAATTTGCTCTTCCTAGTTATACTTATTAATACGTGTTGATTTATTTCATTTTTGATTACATAAGCTTAGCTAAATAATATATGACTTTCCCACCTAATGCATCTGCATTATCCGTAAAGTGGACACTAAAATTTATCCGCAATATTTGACAGAAAAAACACGCAGAAGCTGTGTTTGTGGTTACATGTTTAGTACATGAAGTTGAAAGTTTCATAGGTAACAATGGCCTATTGATCCAATCAGTTTCATGATGACTTAGGCTGAGGCGTGACAAGCTGGTGCGACCCGCCAGCATTGGCAGACCTATTGATGGCCGGAACGAAGGCAAATGCTTTTTACTTTGTTAGAGAACGGAAAATCTCGTGTGGGGAACTTGCCGCGTCAGATTACGGCTGCAAACCATTCTAACTTCGGCAGATAGCGTAGAAACGGGGAATTTGCTATTTAATTGGACGAATGTACATACAAACAAAACTGACGCTCGGAAAATCCAGTAACACTCCGGACGACAGCGAAGCGCATTAAATAGAAGCCCCCAAGAGTATTGAAAAATAGGCAATTCTATGCACGGTTTGTTCGTGGCAAAGTGGGATTTACTTGTATGAAACGGGACTAAATTGACGTAGTTGTCATCCCTTCGGCGCCTTCAGTCGGGCCAAATAATTAATCATGTTCACTAAAATTCCTAACACTTCTTCTAATTTATATGGATAACCGAGATAAAATTGGCTGAATAAAAAGAGTATTCACACTACTGCGTAGGTAGATATCTTGGGATTGAAATTTTTGAGATAGTTTACGAGATAATGGCAAAAAACTAGAAATTTCTCAACGATCGGCGCGTTTTTCGCTGATGTCATGGAAACTAAATATCAATCCGGACTTCAGGTGGAAGGCACACTACTAGGGTCGCCGTCGTTTTAGGTGCAATTTTGCGTGGATTATAACGTGTTGCTGGAGTTCGGGCCACCTCAAGTATAAGCGGGGATTCTGGGCTTCCACCGACTTGTCCTCGTTTAATCTACTAATTGTTCTTAGCGGTTCTGGCAATTTTAGTGTTGTTCATCTCACTTTGGCCTGAACACTGTACAATCGCGAGAAGTAATTTTCATTCTACTTTGATAAATGCATGGGTGCTAAGTAGCCTACGTATGTAGGGGAAGGTGGGACATGAGGCACAGTGGAAAAAACATCTCTCACACTCATGCTATATTCGGAATCAGTTTCGCGGTCGATATTTGAATCCGCCTTTCGGCAAGTTACAACATCCCTGCAAATCGCCAGCGGCAGTGCATAGCGACGCAAGCAATGAGATGAAACTAGTTTCGGAGGGTTCAAACTAAAATCTTGCCATATCAGTCTTTTTCTTTTTTCTACTTCAGGCTTTCCCAAAGAACAAACCACTGTTTAGTATTTTTTAGTTCTACTCCATTGGGAAATATTCATAATGTTGGTGATTACATGTGTTTTCCTGATCTCGACGTGGGATGGTCTGAAATAATTTTTTTGCTATGGTGAACAATGAACCGGGTTCAGTGAGACATGCTCCACTACACACAAATTCTACAATGGTCGGCAATGACGTTTTTGAGAGAGAACAAGGAGAAAAGGGCAATTCAGTATCTTAGAAAACAATAGTTCTATAAATAGAATCGATTTGAAGCTATTGAGTTAGTTATCATAGGAACATGGTACAGGCAACTCAAAGCAGAAACAGGTATTGTGGGATCCTTATGATGGCAATACCTTCTTTCAATGTAATTTGTAATATCGTATGATGGCAATACTGTATTATCCATCCATTTACCAAGACAAATAATTGCATTTTGATGGCTGTCGTAGACTAACAATATTATAGTTATCAAATAATATTGTCATCAAACTAGCTTCAAATTTGTTAAATGCAATTTTGAATTTGAGCAACAGTTTATCTATTTTAATGGTTGTTAACATTTTGCTGATAATTACACAAAAAAAAAAAGACTGGTGATGATAGGATTAAAATAGCATCTACATGCTTTACTTACATGACCTATTAAAACTGAATACATTAGAATTGAGAATGCAATTTTTGAATAGTGTAATTTTTACTATCAACAGTCAACAGTTTTCGAAACCCTAGTTTTGAAGTCCTCTCATTTTTTTTGACCAGTTCATACAAGCATGTGATCTCCTTTCATAAATCTGAAAACATAGTATTGCAAAATACCAGCAGTAAGTGAGATTTACCTGCACATACGTTACTACAACATTGTAAGGCAGGCGGGTATTGTATGATAGAGACAGATTTACAATTGCGCAATAATATTCGGTTCGATTCGGCGAAAATATTCGATTCAAATAAAAAAAAATTCGATTTTGGACAGCCCTACTTCTGAATAATAACTTTGTAGTTTATTTTGTATCGTTATGTTTTATGTAAAAGCGACCAAAGTAAAATTGATTGATGTATGTTCACTCATTTATTTGGATTCTAAAATAGCCAGTTAAACCAGTTTTATTTCTCTTCCAAATTGTATTTTTGATAATCAAATATAATGCCGACCATGGTATGTGCTATTATATTCTGAAATCCATTCAAAAGAACTCTCAAAACTGACCAAAAAACAATATATAGAATAATATTACTTTCAAGTTTATTGATATACACGATATACAGAGAAAAATTGCCTCCGGGCGATTCGATTGAAAGTTTAAACTATAAAATCTATTCTATAAAAGCTATACTAAAGCCACTTATAAACAAAGATCATCTGTACCACATTTGATTCAAGTGTTGCGTATTGCTACAATTCAAGGACAACGGACGAAAATCATTTTAGAATATATATCCCTAGAGTGTTCAAATTTTTAGGCTAAAATTAGACACGAAATGTCTCAATTTGAAAGTAGGCAAGGTAATTTATCGGGGGTAAATTAATGATGATCGGCGGTCAGGAAATGGCGATAATAAGAAAATACACAATAACAACAAAAGCATACATGTTTTAAATATACCATTTAACAACATTTACCTTATACTCAAATTTGAAACTTGAATTTTGTGAAATGTAGATATCGAAGTATGGATTTTAATTATCGTTTTAATTATTTGTAAATGATTGGTAGTAGTAGTTTATTGGGATTAAAATGATGGGCGTCCAGGGAATGACAATGGGTAAAAAAATACACTTTTATAACAAAAGCATACATTTAAATATACCATTTAACTTATTCTTGTTTTAAACCTAATTTTGGAAAAATATAGATATCCAAGTATGGATTTTGACTATTGTATAAAAGTTAGTTGTATAAGATTGGTGGATATTGTAGCGAAGGCCTTATCGCCATTTCGGTCTGGATGATTTTCCTTCCTTTGCAAGCATCCCATGTGATACGGTCTGGACCATCCTCGTCACCGACGTCCTTTATGAACATTGGTACTCCATAGAGTTTTCCATTCAAATTGAAATCAGTGCAGCGATTGAACCACCAACCACCGCCGTACGATTTTGCACAATTTCCATCCCTCCAGCGGTCGTTGTCACTATCACGCGCTGTGAACTCCATGCCATTGTGCATGGCAGCAAAATCAACACTTGTTTGATTAGTAGTTGGAGTTACCCTCAGTTTGAAGTTTTCCTTTTCGTCACCAATGGTGAATTGGCTGTAAATAAATTTAAATAAAACATTGAACGATTGCGTCAAGATACCTTGTAACTGATTGTATAATATTACATGCTCATCCAAATTGATATACAATATATTGTTTAGTGGCAATGAAACATGACCTCTTTTAAAGCGAACGTTGCAATGTTTTTTAAGTCTGTGGCAGACCAAATGTCCAAAAGGATAGTTTTTTTTTTAATCAAGATCACTGGTTCTCAACACTCAACACTCAACACAGCAACACTTCCAGGTGGGCCACAAACTTATTAGAACTCTTGGAGTTATTGATACATTCAGTTGTATTTGTGCCACTACAGTTAAGTTTTGATTGTGGTAGTAATAAATCATGGTACGTTTTTTTTACTACTGAGGGTTAATTTTTATTTTAAATAGTAAAATGATGTGTCTATTTTTGCGGGCATAGTTTTTTGCTTTTCTTGTAGTGCTTTCATAAAAAGTCAATGAATCATGGAAATTTTGTGCAACGAAAGGGAGCCACATAAGGAAAAAGATTGAGAACCCCTGATCTAGATTTAGCGGGAGCGAATGATTAGAAATAGAAGGAAATAATAATTTGACAGCAATGAGAGTGAATTGGACTTTACATCTAGAATCTAGATGGACAATTGAATTAAATAAAAAGATGTTTTTTCCACAAAAAGTCATAAATTACTTCAATGTTCAATTATTTTTGAAAAATTATATATAAAGCGTTAACTTACTCAAAATAAGTCGTGAATTGTCGTCCATCCACTAATTTTATAGTGATTCTCAGTTCATGTGGAACAGTCCTGGTGAAATGGCGAATTGCTTTCAAACCTAAAAGCAAGATGGTGATTTAATTACATCAAAGTTGATTTATTGTTCTATACAGAAGAATTATAAACTGTTGAACAACATAATTGATAAAATGGATCCTTACCCATCCAATAGTCCGCAGTTGGCATCCCAAATCCATTGATGTAACTTCTCAAATCTCTGTCGAATGCTTGCATGTCTAGATGATGGCGCTGGATAACCTGATGGATAAAAAATAAATCGAATCTCGTGAAAAGTGTGAAGAAGAAAGCAAATAATAAGAAAAATACAAACAAGGAAACGGGAAAGGGTCGAAAAGCTGTACAAAGTATGACATACCATCCATCCATCTCCACTTTCTTCATCGCTGCAATCACAATAAAACCACGTTCCCTGTGAATAGGATTCACTCGGCTTTTTGTAGTCAAAAAATTCCGTTCTACCTCGTGTTGCCATTCCAATTGGGTCGTTATTGGCATTAGTCGTCTTTGAACAAACGTCCGTGCAATCAAGAGGAGCAGCTAAAATTACAATTTTATAAAATAAGCAACAAGCATAAAGGTGCAGTATTTGCGACGACCACTAACTTTTATATAGCAAATGGTGAAAAAAAATTGTAGTGTATCTTGGTTCATATCAATATTTTAACATTATTTTAATTCATCTAACCTGAATCTATGCATTTTCCTCCTCGGTTGTTTGGAGGTGCTAGGAAAAAACTGCCGTCGGGATTGTACCTGGTTTGTGGTGTTACACATCTCAAATCTTTTTCACAATCTCCATTCATATTGAAGTCACCACCGCATGTTTCATCTTTTTGTTTAGCACATCTATTACAACAGCTGAACAAAATCGAACAAAAAAAAAGCTTAATATTTAGGACAACACATACTTTGCTGAAGTCTGATGTAATGAAAATAAAATAAAAACTGTTTACAATAGCAAATCGGTTTTTGTTCAAAAAATATTTTCGCTTGTCCTTGTTTATATCGCAAGAAAAAGTTTATTATTCCTTTAAGAGTAGAGGTGTAGTATAAATGCGTCAGGAATGCACTTACTGACAAACGTCTGGTGCTTCGGTTCCGGGGCAGTTTAGTTTTGGACATTCTCTTTTAACTTTAACTTCATTTCCCTCAGGATCGAGCACAAGTTGATAACAGGGAAGACAACGCAGCGTGTTTGCTGAGTGAAACAAAGTCAAACCAAGCAATATAGTCACTCCGATAATGTTCATGATGTATGTATTTTCAAACTGTTAAAAAAATAATTATCAGTTACTTAAAACATATGGCGGGGCGGGCTAGGTAATAATATTCTATAATTTTTTTCTAATTGTTTCTAACAACTCTTGTTACGCCCGTAATTCATCATATCTATCCTTGCGTGTGCAATTGGTTGTAGCCATAACTCATAACTCAACTTTTTGTTATACCAACAACTTTATACAAGAACAGCATAAGTTTAGTAACCACAGTGTTAGTGCGATGTTGCAACTGTGATTGAAGCAGTTTAATCTTGTTCATTTATACAAAAAGTGTGTCTTCATTTCTCTCATCAACTTGCTCTTCGTACTCAATTATTGCAAAATATTTATTAGCCGCAAGACATGTTTGCTTTGTTGAACTAAGATGAAAATAGTCGATCGTTTAAAAATAAACTTTATTCAAATTTATATCTCCAGTTGGAAAGTTTTGAGAAAAAATGTTTCTAATAATAAGTGAATCAAAAATAATCTTTTTATCTTTGAAACTGGAAGCATTGTGTACGTGATAGGAATAACTGCGCTAATTGACTCTGTATCTAAATAGGTAAGACACCAGTCCAATTTAACTTGACAAATATCACAGGGAAACAACTTTTGTATTCGATGTCGTGATTAAAACCATGGCTTTTAATCCTATCTTTAAATAAGTAAAACACCCGTCTATTTTTAACACAAAAATAACACAATTGAAGCACATTCCGTATACGTGATTAAAATCATGTCAAGATTAACCATTCGTCTGTAACTCGATTGCTTCGAAGATGCCTATGCGTCTTTTAATTATATATAATTGTATGCTAGTATGCCTATATAGCTTTTAATTATTGTATGCTAAAATGCCTATATAGCTTTTAATTCAGTCTATTTATGATATAGCAGCACATAGTCCGCATTTGGTATTATTAAAAAACGGGACCTCCTGAAGTATGCGCACCAAGAAGAAGAACCCAAGGTTGTGTACCAGGTTAGGGTTCAGGTTATGCGACATCTTGGTGCGCATACTTCAAGAGTACCAAAAAACGTATTTAACACATTTCTCAGCTAATTAACAGCTTGTTTTTTTCATATTTCAATCAATTCAATGAATATAATAAAGTGTGTGCTATAAAATATGGATAATTTTTAACGAAGATAATGCAGATATTGATTTGCAACTGTTTAAGTGCAATCGTACGAACAATTCATTTCTCCCATATCCGTCCCTTAGACGTCATTGAGAATATTTTTCAAATTTGTTCATTATTTGGAACCGGCAGTTATGACGAAGTGAAATTTAAATCTTCAGTTTGAAAGTTTTCTTCAGAAAAATCGTTTCTATTATTGAGTGAATCATAAATAACTTTTCTACCTTTGAGCTACGTCATACCAATTAGGGCAGGTTAACAGCAAGTAGTCAAGGCTATCAATAATTTACTACGTGTCTTCCGTTTATACCGACTCCCGGTAGATGCCGAAAAAATAAAATAAAACTACGAAAAATATGACGACTACGAAAATATGTACGTGATAGGAATGACTGCGCTAGTTGGCTCTGTATTCTAATAAGTGAAACACTCGTACGATTTTGACTTAATTAAAAAACAACGCAAGGAAAGCAACTTTCGTATTCGTATACGTGATTGAAATCATGGCAGGATTACCTTCCGCCTGTCACTCGATTGCATCAAAAATTAAAAGATAATTAAAGCATCAAAAACTAAATTTGAAAACATGAATTCGAAATCGGATTACCATTTCGACAATTTCATGCATTCATGCATATGCTAGAATGCCTATGTGGCTTTTAATTATAGTCTATTTATGATATAGCTGATAGTCGGCATTTATTACTTTTAAAAAACGCATTCAACACTTTGCTAATTAGCAATTTATTCTTCCAGATTTTAATCAATTCATTGAAAATACTAAAGTGTGGAAGTTGTGCTATAAAATATGAATACTTTTTAACGAAGATAATGCAGATATTGTTTTTCAACAGTTTACGTCATTGTTACGTACAATTCATTTCTCCCAGACTACGTCGTATAGTCATCAATATTAGTCCCTTAGGCGTATTTTAAAATATTTTGAAACTGTATATTATTTGGAACCGGCAGTTATGACGAAGTAATATTCATAATAAAAAGTTTGCGTCACGATTTTTTATTGAAAATATCAAATTGTTGACTTAAAAAACAATAATTAATTTCATTCTTTAATCGGGGATGATTAACAGTCGTAAAACAGTTTTTGTTCATTTTTTTTTGTTCATAATATTTTTTATTTGATAATCATTAAACTTCATAATAAAGTATTAAAGTGAAAAAAATGAGTTAAAATGCAGTCAATAAAAACATCACGGCTCAGCTCACTGAGAACTAAATTTTCACTCATTTTTTATCGACTTTCGTTTCATATTAACAGAGTGTCCAAAAAGTCCCTTAACAATTTTGTTATGTAGTCAGTTCCCAATATATTTTAATCAGGTTTGTTGTATTTTAATCAGTAATTGTTTAAGTATTTTTACTCCATTGAATACATCTGTGAGGGCCAAAGCGATTTATGGTATCGATTTTGCAAAATTTCAAGATTTCATGGACACCCTGTATATTTTTAAGTAGGCGCATTTGTAGCTAATCTCATCTCCCGTATGGATAAGAGTGCATCGCACATATAAAACCCTTTAAAATAGGCAGAAATAGATATTGCTCTTTGCTCGAACACATACATATATATTCTGTATTCTACGCGTCCAGTTCATATTCAATGATATTTGCAGATGCAAGTACATTCAATACATTCACATTTACTTCAATGCACTCACCGTATATGGTAAGCTTAAAATATTGTCTGCCAAACCTTTTTCGACCGCGGACCATTTCCGAGGCAAAAATACCGGCGGCGGGCTCACGACACCAGAACGGAGTAAATGTTGCTTTTAATTTCGATTTGTATATCAGGGCAATTATAAAATCACAATTTATCGCCTAACATTCGTGTTTTCACTCTGCGATGAACCAAGATGCGCGTTCTGCCTTACAAGTATGTTACCCCTTCCAATGAAGGCGATCTATTCAATAGAGCTTTCATCTTACTTTCACAAACCTCTCTACAGTCCGAATATGTATTTGGTAAAGGAATCCTACTCAAAGCAAGGTCACGCACTCACTTATAATAAATAACCTAAAAAAGACTAAACTCTGTTCGTCACATGAAAACATCACACTTCGAGTACAACTTGAATATAATGCTATACGGAATTCGAGACTTACCGACTATCGGAAAAGATCATGAACGATGAAATTGGCTCAGACTGTGTCACATGGGATTCTTGTTTTAAAAAGTAAAGAATCGTGCAGACCGGAATGGCAATCCGACGTTTTGTACCAGATCTGCCAATCACCCACAATATTACACAGGTTGTTAAAAAAAGTTACGCAAAATTAGGGTAAAATTTTTCGTCATGGTAACGTTTAAAAAGTTACTGTTGAAAAGCGTCTGTCGTGAAATGTTTGAATGGCATTTCATCGTATTTCAATTCAAATGTTCTAATTAGCATTTCATCTTAACTTCTGTTAATTTGGCGTTCATTTTTTAACACCCTGCATGATATTGTTATAATATACATATAATAATGTTGTTTTTATATTGACCCAAATTTATTTAATATAAATATTTTGAAAACTCGTCTTTGAACTGTTTAGGATGAATCAGGATTTAGTTAAGAATAAATACTGCCAAGACAGATGTTGGTAAAAGATAGATAATTTCAAACTTCGTTTAAACGTCCTATTTCAAGGTAGTTGCAGCAAAATGCCGATATGAAAAGTAGCGAGTGTCCATTATAAAAGTTTGCATTCATAAGGTTATGCAAAATTTTAAAGTTTAATATCTTCTAATATAGTGTTTTAAATACGTCCGTGGACAATGCTACTAATTTCTCTTTACCGCTTGCGCTACCGTGAACTTCGTTTGTCAACCCTGCCAAAATCGAACGCAAATTAGTATGTTCCATTGAATACGTATTACTGAGAACTCTTCCGCGTAATTTTGCATTGGGTCAAAGGCAATTATAGTGGCCTGTGTACTTATTTTGAACCGCATGCTATTTATATTGGGCGGTGCATTTGGTTTAAATACATACCAATATCTTCAATCAATATCATTGCTTTATTAGAAATTACAGTAAACTTAACGAATCGAGGTCAAGATATACTCGATCTTTGTGCCGGACCTCTTGCTGTAACATATTTTCTATAGTGGAACAACGCTTACCAGGCTTTTTGTCTCAAATCATCTAGAGTCATTCTAGGCATTTCATTCCAAACAAGCCTCTGTATAAATAATAATTTATTTATAGAAATTAAGAATATTTAAAAAAAACACTTTCATACCATACCGTCATACTATCGTGCTTTTGGTCACTGATCTTTTAAAAAAAAAATTTTTAAATTATTCAGTAAGAAATATAATGAATAAAACAAAAACAACTGTCTCACGACTGTTAATCATTCCTGGTTCAGGAAAGGAATTATTTATTGTATTTAAGTCGAAATTTGATTTGTTCACGCAAAATTTTTATCATGATTCACGGATTTTTTACTTCATCCTAACTGCCGGTTCCAAATAACAAACAAGTTTCAAAATATTTCGAATGACCCCTAAGGGACTGATATTGATGACTATATGACGTAGTTTAGAAGAAATGAATAACATTGCACGTAAACAATTGCAAAACAATATCTGCATTCTCTTCATTGAAAATAAATCATATTTCATAGCACATCTCTCACACTTCAATATATACATTGAACAATGTATTGTAAAAATAAACTGCTTATTATCGGTGGAATATGTTAAATGTGTTTTTTAGGAATATTAAATGCAGAATAAAATCTGTATCATAAATAAACCTGAAAGCTACATAGGCATTCTAGCATACGCATGAGTATCTCATTAATTCTAATATATTGGAAAGATCATTCGATTTTGAATCCATGTTGAAGTTTCGTTTTTGATGCTTTAATTTGTTTTTAATTTGATGCAAACGAGTGACAGACGAAGGATTAATCTTGCCATGATTTTATTCACGTATATGAATATGAAAGTTGCTTCTCTTGTGTTATTTTACAAGTCAACGTTAGACGGTTATCTTACCTATTTTTAAAGATAGAGCCAACTAGCGCAGTTAAATCTATCAGAAACATAT